TCACAGAGATATGACCGATCACGTGATGTCTGACGTAAGTACTATTTTTTTAATTTACAGTTTTATATGGACAGGTCGAAAACCCAAGACAGGAACTAAGTCATCTGCACACGTTTCATCTTTTAGGATTTTCAATGATATCAGAAACTCATAAGGGGCGTGAAACGTGTAGCACGGTCAGATGCTCCGGAATATTCAAAATGATTATCATAATTTTGATACCATATTTGGGCCAAACATTTGAGTTTGAGATGAAAGCAAAATGGCGGACAGACGGCGGCAAAAAGTTGTCTCGTTTTAAATGGTTCTAAAATGTAGCTAAAATGCTCAAAAGAGCTGAAAATCGTACAAAATCAACTGATTACCATCCAAAGGACATGGAATGAGGTATATTATTGTTCCAAATATGGTTGTAAAATAACTTCAGTTGATTTATTCGCGTTTTGAATATTCCGGAGCATCGAACCAAAGAAATGTACTGTTGCTACACGTTTCAATCCCCTTATGAGTTTCTGGTTTTATTCAAAAAGTACGCTTTCTCTATATTTTTTCCCCTCGCTTCTAATCATGTTATCTATTTCTTTTCTAAACATTATCAAACCTAAACAAAGATAATTATTTCATTTTGAAAACTTTGAGCCTACCAAAAACGCTTAGTAATACTGGCGTCAGTCATTGCGATGCTTTTACGGCATTGTTTTTGCGGCATGTTTAGGCTTGAATATATCTATCATAATAATTACTCCGTGGCGTGGTGTGAATAACTATACGTAAAGCGAAATGATATATGAATGATTTTAAATCAAATTTAAACGGCATTCAATGATTAACATATGCTCATTAATGCATCGAATTGTATCCTTTGTCAAATTGCACAACCTGCTAGATTTATCCCTTCCCCACTGGGCTACGTCTGCTAAACGACAAATCACCCTCTCCTAACCCTTCTCGTGCTTTAAGGTATCAGCGTACCCAAAACCGTCACATTTTAGTGATTTTTTGATTTTTATATCATTGGAAAGATCGTTTGTAGATCTAGGTATATAGTAAAGTTTTGAAAAGATACGAAGTTTACAACAAAAGTTATTGCACTCAAAAGATTTTTTAGTCTAAATTGGATTAATGTCGTTGATGACAGCTCACATCAAACGAGTTTTATATACGACCGTTTAGAGTGAGAGTCGATTGAAGCATGCCGTAAATACAAAAGAATATATATCTAAGTGAAGGACCCCAATAAGCAATATATTCGATAAATATGCTCACCGGCAGTTTTCATATCGATTAAGTATTAAAAGTCTGTCCCGGGATCCAGAGTTGATCACCCTCATGTTGTTGATTCTCGATTAATCATATTCTGCTTCTTTTTCYCTCTCKTTTCTCTGGATCACTCAATCATTTCTTTCTCTTGTATTAGTTTATTATGATTTGACACGTTTTGATTTGAAACGGTCAAAACTTGCGAGAATAGGAATCAACTATACATTATATTTACAATTAGCATATCCTTGCTTCGCTTAGCTATCGCTAATCTTCTTGGCCTTTGGCATTCCTGGACATTATCAAATATTAGCTTTGGCCTAACCCAAATTTGCTACAAAAAACTGTATATTTAGTAAAATGTTACGAGTTACAAGTTGATGTTTTTGAAAGTAAACTGACCGCACTACTTAAATCGGTTTTATAGCTGTCATCGCATCTWTTATGCTAACATGACGTAGATTCCGGTATGGTCTTATAATCTGGTATTACCCGGTATAATCCCATTACGGGCTAAAAACTGTTTTTGACTCATTTCTCGAAACAAAATTTACGGCAAGTAGGGCATACGTTTTAAACTCCAAGTCAGATACCCGTAAACCAATTTTATTCAAATTTCGTAGCATTGTTTACAGATAGTTAAGCAACAAAATTGTGTCTGGGATTTTGATAAGTCGTCTTTTTTCAAAAGTTATTCAAGGTTCTTTAAGAACTTGACATGATTTTGTGTTCCTAAACTTTATTACAACATCAAATCAAAACAAGAGCGCATATAAAAAATCGCAGACACAATTTTTGAGACAAATATGTGAAATTGAATTTTTTCCGATAATTCTTTCAGACTTGGAGTTCGTTTTATACAGGCATGTAGTTTCAGRTAATGGAGCTAATAACTCTAAAACGTAATTTYAAATGCATTTCAAACACTTATAGGMATAAACTACAATTACTAAGCTTTCAGAAAATATATACTTTGTGAACATTTGMRAAACAACAAGAACGTTATAGTCSATGACGCAAGTAGGGGTCGCGTGGGTACGCTGATACCTTAACTTGGGTTATATTAATGGTCCCGAACCATGGGCGACAATGGTTCGTAAAATGAAGAGGTATCCGAAGTAGCTACGAATAAAAGCCGACTCTTCACATCACTGATTGTGTTAATCACTCTATTGTTATTCGAAATGTCAATCGAACAATGGCCGATTTCTTGATACGTTACATATCTCAACAATTCTTATAATTTTTGCAAAAGGCTGTAAATACCGAGTATATGTGTATTGATTAATATTGTTACAGATGATTCGGCACACAAGGATGAATTAACATACATTGAATGCCAAGATAATCGATGGCCGATAGATGACTTGGTCATTAGACAAAGGCCGAATGAGAATGAAGAGCCCTTCCTTGACGAAGTATTGAAAGTCAGCGAGGCGTACGAGCGAGGAGAAGGCTTTTTACCAGTAAGTTCTCCGTATTAATTCCAAATTCATTCACTTAACTGGTGTATGCTACCAAGTATTTTACGATACGACTGACAAATGTGTTCTTATGTTATTGAAACATACTGTAATTTGAAGAAATTTTTCCACAAACATGCAGTCCATTACAAAAAGGTTGTTATAATATGTACTTGAAATTGGATGCATAACAAGACCGAAATGCATTTTCGGTCGTTTTATCGCCGTTCAAAAGTAGATTTCATGGTTTCAGATTGAATATACCATAGCTCTGTACAGTTCTTAAAATTCAGTCATTTTGTTACTCAGATAATGTGGAATTTTTAACAAAAATGCATATAACACATGATGACAGGTTCGTAAAACCAAGCTTATTCTAGTGTACGCGGACTATTTACAGTTCGTTTTGTTTACCTGGTTTACCGTCCCGTTGACATTTTTTTACTTGCAGATTCGTTCCTTTCTTCCTCTTTCATATACTGATTTCATCCACTTTCTTTTTCTATTTTTCTAAGGTTTATTAGGGGCAATACAGACCACCTCCAAAAGAGAAGCAGTCTGCAATTTTGGAGGACCAAGAGTTAGATGACTTGGATGTTGGAATGCTGATTGCATTGGACATGGAGAAGTACAGAGAACGCCCCCTTATTGCCAAAATAGTAGACATACTTCCCGATAACATAATTAGAGTTTATTGGTTTGGTGGATCATGGACAACAAAGTGGACGCCAGCACGGCAGAAACGTTGGCTGCAGTGGGTGGATTGGACCGAAGAAGTCCCTAAGGAAAGCGTGATACTTTTTTATTTTAATTTGACCGGGACAGGAAAATTACGCACTAACAGTGTGAAACATTTAAAAACATGTTACGGCATGGAATGATCCATTACAACTCAAGGTTGAGAATAGTTTTATGTCGCGTATAAGTTACGCCGGTTTCACGTTAACAATGAATTTCCCTGGAAAAAGATGTAAATCAAAAATTACATTTACTAGCCAAACATATGAATATTGTGCGATATATTATTAAATTTATGAATGAATAGCCATTTTTACAGGAACCCTAGTAACAGTTCAATCAGTAATAACTGAGCGTAAAAGCACAAGCGAAACATATCTTTTAAATTTAAAAATGTTACTAGGCCTTTTGAAAAATTCTCATTAAAATTTGTCAAATTCTGTCAAGTTCTTCGTATTTTTTTATCCACATTCGAATTAGAACTAGATTGACACGGCCAAAACTCGACGACTCTTCTTTAGAGGAAAATATCAAAGCAAAAGGACTTCTGTATGGCTCTTGGCTGTGTTTACAACAAGAACTAACCCGGGAGCTTATTTTTGACTTTAATATGGACAGAAGCCAGGAAATAAGTTGTAAACAATTTTGGCGCCAAAATGTTGAAGGTCTACGAACGAAGATTTAACATCTTGAATACAACGACCTACTGAACGTGAGTATGAATTTTTAATGCTTGTAGTTTTCTCGAGTATTAAATGAGGTTCGCAGAAGTTCATCTTTCTCGCCATATCGCAAGGAGCATGTTTATTATGTTTACCATGTAATGTTCCGAGTATTTACATCGTTCGCTCGACTGTATTAATAGCTTGAAGAATAACAAATTGCATTTATACTGTTTCGATTATAATTGTAAACACTTTATCAAGTATATGCTATAATTCCTGGATGTATTTAATTGCAATTAGAAATTCTACCGTAGTTAATATATACCATTTAGGACTGAATTGATTTAATATAACTGTCAAGTCACGCGCTTACAGCAAAATATTATTTTTGCATTTTTGTTGAGAGAACCTTAAAATAATTATTAAAATATACTATCTGATAGTGGATGTTTTTTTTGGATCGTTTTTAGCTATTTCTTCGAATCAGTTGATTGAACTATTCTCATCATAGTGAGATTTTGAGGCATCAAGTTTGTCATTTAAACAATTGCTTTCAAATATAATTTTTTAGTTCTTGCTTGTGGTGCAAACATTTTATTTATTTACATTCTACTACCGTAAAGTCGAAAGGAAAAGGATTATAAGACTCTTTGAAGTCTCTTCATAAATTTATGAAATTAGTCAAGACTGGCTCTGGCTTCATAAATTTATGAAATTAGTCAAGACTGGCTTTGGCTTCATAAATTTATGAAATTAGTCAAGGCTGGCTTTGGCTTCATAAATTTATGATGTTAGGTTAGACTGACTCTACAAATGTCATAAATTTATGAAATCAGCCAAGACTTGCTCTGGCTTCCTGAGTGTTTTTAAAAATTAGTTCTTTCAATGTATATTTTCTTTCAGTATAAAATTGGTGTGGTCACTAATTAAATATTTTATTCAGTTCTTACTTATTTCTTCAAGAGTGTTCTTGAAACTTAGGAAAAAGTAAAAAAAGGGTGTTTATGAATCAGTTTTCAAGTCAGGGTTTGCTTTCAAAGGTACCTTCACAATAACACCAAATTTTAGTGTTTTATGAATTGACCTCAAGTAACCAAAAAACGTAAGATCATAACATATCAATTTCCTTATAATTCTTACATTTTAAATACAAAACAATGCTATAATAATGCTATAATATGAAGGAACAAAACTGAATATTTATAATGCTATAATAGTTGTTTTTTCTAGAATCCAAAAATCCAAATTAAACATTCTGCCATTTAAAACTGGAAAATGCCATCAGAAAGTGGAATATTTCGTTGTTTACTTTGACCTTAGTTATCATATCTGGATTTTGCATATCATATCCTGAGATTAACCAATCACAATTGACTTTAGTCATATGGTTTTTGGCTGAGATATCATATCTGTCTGTTGTCCAATCAACAGCAGCCTATTATTTACATGTCAGTTACATGTAGATATGATATCCTACTTCCAACCAATAACTGTAGTACTTTGATGAATTTGCTTTCTATAAAAAGGAATCTGTGATTAACAAGATCAAGGAGCAACCCTGATCCAAAATACAACACAAGGTGTATTTTAACAACCAATTTTGATTAGAAACAGAACAGACACTGAAATAACATTTTAGCTGCCTTGATTACTTTCCATGTAGGAGTTTGATTTGTTTTGTTCAACAGGGAAATAGAATCAAATAGTTTTGCTAATCTAGTGATGGCAATATTACAGTCAAAGCGGTGCTTGTTATAGTAGTCACTGCATTAGTGCCTTTTACTTCGAAGCTCACTTCATTATTCTATTAGTGACAAATTCATTTTCAATTTCAAATGCGTGATAAACTGTCGCGTCTGTGGTTCTTTTGTGTCTTAAGTTATGATATCCAAATGTTGTCCAATCTCGTGCCTTTGTAAATACGCATTTACCTAATGAAACCATCAAATCCAAACCGCGTTGATCATGTAAGAATTACGGCAGGCATACAGTTTTTCTAATGCCGAATTGACATCAAGAGATTTAAACCATTCAGTCAATAGATTAAAGTGCATATATCGGTTCAGCAATTTTGGTTTAAAATAAAAGTTTAGACTGTCATTAATTATGTTTGGTGGGTTAAACTCGAAAAAAAAAATTTTTAGTGTCATTTTTTAAGGCCTAAAAGTGCTAAAAATGCCATTTTTGGGCCTCCTGTGCCAAAATTTTGGAGCGATGCAGAAGTCTGGTAACTAACATTTCATGACGTCATTCACGGAACTCGTCACCCAGAACAATATTGTTTCCAGTCATTTTCCAGTCAAAAAACTATCAAAATTCTATTTAATTCCGTACTTAAGAATACGATTCCTCTTCCAAAATGCCCGATAGCAGTAGGCAAAAGTTGTGGTAACATAAACAGTCGTGAAAACGCTATATTTCCTAGCACAAAATTCAGTATTAAGGCGACCAGCGACAAGAGAAAATTCGACGCCGAAAGAGACGAGACACACATAAGCGCTCGTTAGCGAACTTTGCAAAAACATTTGTGAGTAATTAGAGGAAAACACGGGAAACTCTTCTTTACATAAAAGCTTGAATGAAGCCTTTTATAATAATACAGTTTGTCCGTCCATATTCATACACTTTGCCTTATAATGCAGGATATGATCGCGTAGCTACTCAATTTTTGGCGAAGTTTGCTCGTCCGAATAACCCTTTTCAACCTTTTATACAGAGAAAGTTCGAGTAACTGCTTTTCTCAACATTCGCAAAGTTTGACTGTCCGCATATGAAACTTTTTTATACTTAAATAATAATAGTCACGCTAAACAAGAAAATCAACCTCTTTTAACTTGATTTTTATGCACGAGTTTGTCATCAAGTCACAGATAGACTCAGGGTAGAGCGTTTTCGACGAAAAAGTTCTAAGTGCCACGGCAAAGGTGTTTTGTATACTATGCCCAGCAAAGACCAGCGAGCTTTATACAAAGTAAGACTGCTTAAAAGGAGCGCTTAGTATTTCTAAACAAACTTTCCCTTGTGTGGTTTCAACACAAACAGTCATTTGACCGTGATTTGAAGAAGATTTTGGACTGCCGTGCACCGAGTTATTTTAAGCACCGTGAACGGCTGCCGGGCATCTTACACACTGCGTTTAAAATACTCAGAGAAAGTTCGTGTAACTACATTTCTCGACAAAATTGGCGAAGTTTGCCCGTCCGCATATAAAGCATTTTTATATTAATACTCAGCTAGCCACGCTTCATCTGTAATCGGTTCGTCGCTGTACTTTAAAGCGTTCATGTCGCGATATGCTTCAGGATGCTTCAAAATCGTCTTCGATAAAGTGGTCATTTTGCGCATTGATCGGGTTTCAGATTCAACTTCATAATTACTCAGAAATGTAACAAGAGTCTCTACATTCACTGCTGCAATCAGACATGTCTTTTTTCAAGAAAAATCAGTCGTTTTAAAGATCAGTTCTGTGAAGTTTAGTGTTGTTTACCGTAAGCTTGTTCCGTGAATGACGTCACTGGGCGGACTAGTACCAGGCCTCCATAACGCTCGACTTTTATCAGCTCATTCCGCAGTTTGAAAGCTTAAAAATATACGAAATTTATATAGTATCGTAAAATTTTCTTTAATTATGTGATTTTTAATGTCCAAACTTTCATTTGAAAGAAAAATTGCTGAACCGATATATGCACTTTAA